CACGTCTGCACAACGTCATGAGGCCATTGGGATGGTCCGTGGGGGAATGTCTCAACGACAAGTGGCTGCACATTTCCACTGCCACCGGAAAACCATTTCTGCACTGGTGAGACGCTACCAGAACACAAATGACGTCATCGATCGGCCACGTTCTGGACGTCCACGTGTAACAACGCCAAGACGGGACAGATGGATAAGGGTGACCTACCTTCGCCACAGGTTTCAGACTGCAGTGATGACTGCCCGAACCATCACAGGACTTCGCCGTATCCAACCCAACACAGTTCGACAACGTTCACGTCATCACGGGGTCAGACCACGACGTTCCGACATATGGCCTATCCTGACACAACGTCATCGACAAGCTCGCCGAATGTGGTGCCGAAATCATGTCCGCAGACCCTTGTTTTGGTGAAGAAACGTTGTTTTTACAGATGAGTCCTGGTTTAACATTTCCCATAGTGATGGACGTCAACGTGCCTATAGACGCGTGGGAGAACGTTATGCACAGGACTGTGCTTTGGAGAGGAATCGCGTTGGTGATTGTTCAGGGCAACTTAACTGGTATGGGCTACAGGGATCAGATTCTTCCGCCTTGTGGCAATTCCTTTTCTGCAATGTCATGGCCCTGGGTTAACATTCCAACAGGACAATGCCCGCCCTTCTACGGCAAGGGTTGCTATGGATTTCTTGCAACACCACAACGTTTACTTACTGCTTTGGACTGCAAATTCACCTGATCTCTCACCGACAGAGCATGTTTGGGACGAGATGGATCGACGTCTACGCCGTCTTCCTCATCCGCCAGATAACGTCCTTGACCTTGCAACAGAACTTGAGAGAATCTTGCGTGACATCCCACAAGCCTTCCTTGCACGTTTGATAGGCTCTATGCGTCGTCGATGCACTGCTGTCCTCAATGCCGATGGTGGACATACCCGTTATTGAGCTTGTGACATGGTCGTTTGGCCCCTGTCCCGCTTGTGGACTCGTGACGTCATTGTGATTGACTTTTCAATTGAAATTCTCCCGACTTGTTCTGGTCTCATGATCCCTCCATTAAAGTTTGTATGTACCTTTGACATCGTTATCGTACTTATCAACTGGGATAATATTTTGACAATGTACAGTTTCTTTATGTGGCTAGTATATATACAATCAAGCACATTGTAATGCCTACCCGTTGTATGGCACTAGGGTACAAAGTTCAGTGCCGTCAAGCCGCCAAGCCAGTCAAACGTACGTATAATCTGTGTGAACAATAATCAACGTTAAAGCTACGATAACTTAAACTATGTATATATTCTACCATTTCAAAAACCTAGGAAATGATATAACCATTCAAACTAAAATCACATTCATACTTACATTCACATGCATACTATCCTTTCTCTCATTTATAAAATCAATCAAACGTGCAAATACGCAACAATTCACTCATAGGAGATTGAAAACAAATATAACATTTAAAGGTATACACACTGATAAATTGATATAAAAGATTAAACTGACATGTGCTGATGTTATAAGATGGATAAATCCCAACACAGCATACGCGTCTTGTTGGTGCAAGCAGTGACAGTGAAGTGAAGATTTGAATTAGTATAAGAAGGCAAGAGTTTAAATGATCCAGTCAGATTGGATCAACTAAGGGCACATAATAATGTAATGACCCCACCTAACCACCCTTGATTAAACTATAATAACACTGACTGCATAGCCCTTAACGGACATGTGAGTGAGTGAGTTAAAATTTACCGTCACATCGGCAATATTGCATCCATATCGTGAAGAGAACAGTTGATATCAATAGGCAAATCAATAAATGTATAACGTAAAAACCTGTCATCGAAGGACAGTAAAACAACTAGAATATCAGAGATATACATGTAAATCTAGTAATTAAATCTAAAACATTCTAACTATAGGGGACAACACAATATAAAAATAGGCTATAGATCGCCAACAACTGAAGGTAGATCACCATACAAGGGACCATGGGGACTTACAGTACCTTTGCTACCTGCATGGACCCTAGTTGGATTTACACCATCCCTTCAGCCGCTGGCGATTGTAGGAAAGTTTAGCCGAATTTTAAAGGAACAAATATACTACGATAAAAAGTCTGGTAAGGTTAAATTTGACTTTGAAAGTTTTAGGAATTACGTTCCCTCTCAGGGGATTAAAAGACATGTGTTAAGATGAGGATAGTCAGTTTCAAAATGACCAGGCCTGTTCATAAAAAAACATTCATCGCAATAAATAAGAAATATTATACCTGCAACGCAAAGTGACTATTAATACATACATATCCATAAATATCCAAATGTGATGTGATATCCCTGAAACTGCATTGTAACTGTTAATATACAAATATTCATACAATTGTTAAATGACTTAGAACTAATATGTACATGACTGTAAAAATACAATATTATATATCTGCCACATCTGTATTTCTGGGAGTCTCTAGTGTCATCACGGCAGATTTATGAGAGTGGCGAGATAGAATCTGAGAAGATGACATTCCTCCAAAATATGCCAAAGGTTATTGAATGTAAGTAAATTAAATTAACTTTGTTGTGGCACTACAAATCTTATTGCAGAACATTAGGACTGAGGGAGAAGGTAACTGAGACCTCAACATGCTTACCCAAAGTGCAATACTCCCTCTCGTTTTACAGTTCAGATCGAACAAAGTTTGCTCGTTGGCTACCAGTAGACATTCCCGAAATGCATCGTATCGGCCGTTACCAGACGAGAATGGCGTAGTGAAGTCTCTAATGTGTGACGTTATGCAAAAAGTGTACTTCAGAACAAAATTCAGCCGCAACCTCTTTATTCAACTGGTTTAGGTTTGGAACCATAAAAATACAAAAAAATACGCTATGTTGTCAATTTTATGGATGTAAGACGTGAGTAATGAATAGAATACCTTACATGGTCTCATTACATACGATTTATGCGATACTCGTGACCTTCCTATGCTTTTTTATCTTTCTTTCGCTCGGCCAGATACCATAGGCAGGACACTCGTTTCGTATATTCGTATGCAATGAGACCTTGTGTAGTATTCTCTATTTACAATGTGAATTCATTACAGTTTCAGTGAGCAATTAATCCCAAAAATACGGTGATAACCATCAAAGATCCGGGTAAGACTTAGTTTTCAGCAGCACATGCTTGTCGAAAGACACGACTATTAGGATCGAGTGGTCAGGATGATTGAATTGACTTGGTTCACACATGTCATCGTATCAGTGATACAGAGGGTACTTGACAGCAATCAACACACACACACAAACACACACATGCACTCACACACTATCTCTCTAAAAATCATTGGGAGTGACAGTATTATCTTAAACATGATAAAGTACTTATTTAGAGAAAAATACGCTAGTTTTCTAGCTGTGTGTTTGGTAATATTCGGCCACTATCGGCCATTCCCACACAACCGTTCTTTTGATTAGATGAACTGTCTGTTGTAACCAATCAAATTGCGTATACTTTATCGCTGTTTCCGTCTCGCCAAAATGGCAACCACTTCACACGCGGCCGATGCGAAATTGAAACTTGTAGATTATAAGTCGCGCGTGTGGAAATAGTTTAGTTTTAAAGGGAATCGTAAACCTTGGGGTGTAGTTCAATCTGTTGTATGCAGGGAATATTACGCCGAGCTTCAGCACACAGGTAACACAACCAATATGACTTTTCACCTTGAGCCCCATCATAATGTTGATCTGCTTCATCCAACGCAAGTAACGTAACAAATGTTCCTAGATCAGAAGGAAATCAGCGAGGCCCAGGTCGTACACAGCCACGTCTCAATGATTTCAATACGAAAAAAATGCCATAAAATCAGGACATGCACAAACTATCACACAATATCATAGGCTATTCATCGTCCCCTGAGCATTATATAAAACCCTGCTCTTGTAAAACTGCTAGAGCAAATGGATCCCATGTACAAGGTTCCTCCAAGGAAATACTTTGCAGAACAAATTATACCGTCACTATCACACAACGCATAGGCATATTCATAGCCTGTGATTTGAGGCCCCTAACCATTGCAGAAAATCCTGATTTTGTAACACTGCTAGTGCATATGGATCCCAGGTACAAGGTTCCTTCAAGGAAATACTTTGTAGAACACATTATACCATCACTTTATAAAGAAGTGAAACAGGAAGTACAGTCACAAATAAATGAAACTGTTTCAGGTGCACTTACCACTGATGGCTGGACATCTAGAGCTGCCCAGTCCTACGTAACTACAACAGCCAACTTTATTTCACATGGATGAAAGGTGAAAACGGGGCAAAACCTGGGGTCAGCTCTGTTAGAGACAGCGTCAAACTGGAACACTAGTAGGGAACATAACATAAACTGTGTTGTGACCGACAATGCCAGCAACATGAAAGTTGCTGTAAATTTTAGTGGTCTGAAACCACATATGGTTTTTTGCCCACACCATTAACTTGGCTTGAAAACGCTCCCTGACTGTTGAGAATACTAGGAAGTGTTCGAACAATTGTAAGCTACTTCCATAGAAGTCCGAAAGCAACACAAATCTTGCAGGAGAAACTGAAGTTGGTATACATTCAAGGCCCCACAAAGCTCACCATGCACGACTCCACTAGATGGAACAGTTCCTATGAAATGCTTGACATAATGGCAACACTCATGTCAAAAGAAGCCAGGAAAGAGGCAAGGAATAATGTAACTCTATCCGAACATGATATAAGCAATGGAGAAAAGGTGGTTCATACATTAAAGACATTGAAGACAGTCAGAGCTATTCTGTGCCATTCAGAAAGCCCTACAATCTCACTGATCCTACCATTGAAGAATACTATTGTGAATGCCATGATGCCCTTTGCAGAGGATTCTAACATTTTGACACACATGAAGGAAGCTATTTCAAAAGATCTTAATCCAAGGTAAGAGGAGGAGACCATTAAAAATTTCCTACAGCCAAAAGCCTTGGATCTATGTTTCCTTTCTTTGCCTATTATAAGGGAACAAGAGAAACAACGTGTATATGGTGAAGTGGTGATGAACAAAAACATCTTCACCCAACCCGTAGAGCATCATCGTTTGGAGGTAGGTATCTACTGTAGACTGTTGATGATCTCAAGCTGAGACATTAGAACTCACACAAGTTGCAATTATTGATCATGATTTTCTAAAGATCATTAATACAGAATTTTTGACCAGTTACACTGAAAACTCAAGCTTTTATTTCATTTATTTATATCTGAATAATCTGATTACTGATTTTATAGTTGATTACATACAAAGTTGTCAAAGTGGGATGCAGATTTGTGAAAATATGAGAAATATTTTGTGTAAATTTGTGTTCAGCATGATCAGTTGCAAGTAACAACAAAAACATGAATGACTAATTTGACTTGATTTTCAAGAATGAAAAATATTAAAATTTAGAGACTTTGACTTTATACATTTCCAGGTGAAGTCTGCACCAAGTCAACCAACTGAGACAGATGTGACGGTCCCACCACTACCAAAGCATACCAAACCTTCCCATTACCAAACCTTCCACACAATCCAGACAACCAATATGGTAATGATAATGTTGAGATTCAAGAGAACATCCCTCCACCAGTCAACATGTTCAAATCTACCAGTGTTCCAGTCAAAGAAGAATCTTCTTGGTCACCAGCAAAGAAACAAAAACAGCAATGACTAAACTTTTAGGAGACGTTTTCATTACAAACCTTGAAGGAGGACATAAGTGCAATTAGAACAGATTGAAGATGAAGTACAAGTGTATAAGCAGAGTCATTCTGTTACTGTGGGTTCTAATCTGCTCTTGTGGTGGAAGGAGAATTGCTACCGTTTCCAACATCTGTCAGAATGTGTCAAGTGTCTTTTGGTCATACCAGGTACAACAGTACCCAGCGAGCAGGTTTTCGCAACTGCAGGTGACTTGTCACCAGTTCACGATTTTGCCTCAAACCAGAGGACGTGGATATGCTCGTATTCCTGAAAACAAAATTAGAAAATGTGAGAAAGTGAAATTTGTGTGTAGTAATAGTATGACATTTGGCTACAAACACGTTGAACAGTTGAATGTAGACATTTCAACAAACGCTTAATAAACATCCTTATAAGTTACAAATTTTAAAACATTGAACTCTCTTATTAGAGGAATTACAGGTCTGCAGTAAATGCAGTTGGAAACTTATCAGATGATTGTCTGATGTTATTCAGATGTTCTTGTAAGTTTTTAGACTTTTAGTCTCATTTAGATACGGACTGAAAAAGTTACGTCTGTGTTCTGACTCATCTTTGACCATATTATTTTTTTAATTCGATTTCCAGCAGTTGATGTTTACATTCATTAACAATGATTAAGACTGTGTCAGTCATCTAGTCAGTACCTAGTCTTTCAGGGTAATACAGTTTGTAGAGAGTGATGCACCATGTAAATCTATGTTGACTATGGACAGACTTGTATCAAGAGGACTGATAATGATAATTATGCTGAAGTTAATATTCTATTTCCAGCTTGTGATGTAGGTGTTTGTCACTCCTGGAGTTTTGAATAATCAAGATTATATAGTGATCTAGATCATCTACTCACTGTATATGATCTGCCAGATGGTCCGGGAAAGCAATGCAACCTTATGATTTATGAATTTAAAAGTTTGTATGTTTCAGCTTGTTTGACAAACAATTATGCAGTTTCCCACTCTTGTATTGAGTTGATGTTATCATATTGTGGACATTCATTCATTTGCTCATTACGATTGTTCCAGTGATCTTGTCAATTAGGGCATACAGTTTTAAAGCGACAAATTTAACTCAAAGTGACATGGGTGAATGATAGAGTAACTTGTTTGTTTATTACAACAGTGTTATTGTTATACTTAAATACCTTGAAATAAATCATTTTAAATCTTAATACTGTGTCATTCTTTCAAGGTGTATGTATCGTGATACGTATCGTATCGCAGGTAAAATATCGCGATGCGTATCGTGACATAGTGTATCGTCCCAGTCCTATCTCATATAGAGGTACCCGTAACGATCCAGGTTAGAATTGATCTTCAGTAACCCTTGCTTGTAAGAGGCGACTAACAGGATCGGGTGGTCAGGTTCGCTTAACTGCTTGATACTTGTCATCGTATCCCAATTGCGTAGATCGATGCTCATGCTGTTGATCACTGGATTGTCCAGACTCGATTATTTGCAGTTGTTGAGTTGGGCTTTACGTCACATGGGCATTATTTCAGCCATATAGCGACGAGAACAGTTCTGTATTCATGGGTATTTCAAGTACAAAGTCCAAATGAGTGTTAGTTTAAAAACATATATATTCATTACATTATTATTTACAAACAGAAACCGTCTCAGTACCAAATTCAAAAATAAGAAATCCGTCATTCACATTGCATGGTTACAATTTTTGGTACAGGTCAACTTCCCTCGGGAAGCTAACAATGAGATGCCCGCTCACGCGGGAAAACAGATCTTTCAGATTTCTCGCATCATAATGTGAATCCCTTGCAGTCGAAAAGTCCACACAGTCAAACAGAATATGCTGCTTTGAGTGGCATTTTATGCTTGACAACGGTACAAGAATCTGTATCGAAACGTCGCACTCACGAATAAAAAGAAGTTGTTATCCATAAAGTTTGTTCTATAGAATATGCTTGATGGTGAACACTTCGCAAGAGACACACATGGGGGGTCCATCCCCATCCGTTTTCAGCAGATAGTCATGTGTAAACCGACTGTGTACGGCATCGTCGTAGAACTACCTCATCACGTCTTGACTGACAACCCATGTAGGTATAACAAATTGTTGGCTTCAATTCATGAAGCGTATGTCTTCCTACTTCAGTGTCCCACCTTTTTTGCATAAGGTCCCGAGTATAACTTTTGATAATGGGTTTGAAATCACTGTTCGGGATTAGCAGTGGAGATAAGGGCTTGGCAAGAGCTGCTTTAGCTGCAGCATGGGCCTTTGTGTTACCTGCTATGCCGACGTGACCCGGCAACCAGCAGAGAACGATGTCGCATTGGCCAGTAGAAAGATCGTTGTAAAGTTCTAAAATTTCTAGGATGATAGGGTTACTTGAGGTAACATTGTGAAGTGCTTGAAGGCAAGATAGTGAATCTGTAAAAACGATGAAGTTTGTGGATTGATTCTGCTGTTTAATACAGGTCAAAGCCGTGGCAATAGCTTTGGCCTTATTTACAGACCGCCGTCATACAGCTGGACTATTGCTTAGTGAGGCGTTAAACTAAACTCACTCACTCACTCACTCATACAGAGGTCCCATCGCATGGCAAATATCAAACGTATTAAGAACAGTTCAAGCATCCACCATGCGATTTGTGGTGACAGTATGGTAAAAAACTTAAATAACATGAAACAAATGAGTTAATATGAAAATCGCTGAAACGATAAACTCTTCTTTTATAGAAAAGAGGTGGGCTAAGTTTAACATTTTTGAGTGGATTATATAAAATTCTCTTTAATTCAGTAAATCACACACCAAATACTGTCTTACGTTCTGTTAGTTTTGCAAGTGAAGCACTGAAACCCTGGATTAAAATAAAGAATTGTTTTGGGAAGGCGAATACCTGAAAGTACAATGAAACAGATGAGATAATATGAAAATCACTAATAAGGAATAATCTTCTTTCTTTAAGTGATCACTTCAGGCGGGCTATTTTTTTAGTATACTTGAGTGGATTTTAAAATCATATTACTAGAATCACACACCAAATACACTTTCAGCCCGATCTCTTTACCATTAAAAAAACCCAACATATATGAATTAAAAAACATACTTATACATAAATATATGCAAAGTATATATTACAAATACAAAATTAAGCAAATGTATTGAATCTGAAACAAATATAATCAAAGAATACATGCACAGAAATACCCAGTCAATGATTTCAACCATCAATCAACATAGACAACATTTACAAGACAAGCGTCCCAGATGTGGACAAATTTGGTGGCGAAAGCATAATGGCATGGGGTTCGTTTATTTTAAATGTTTTTTGCGCACACAGGCGTTCTCCCCTTGTTTTCGTTCGAGGGAACTGAAATGCTTTACAGGGATAAGATTTTGCATTTATGCAGAGACATGGCCCTGGACTGACGTTCCAACAAGTCAAGGCAAGACCGGATACAGCATTCTTACACAGAATTTTCTACAAAATGCCAATATCCGCGTTCTGGATTGGCCGTTGTGTGGACCCGACCTCAGTCCGATAGAACACATATGGGACGAACTGGATCGACGTGTTGCATCATCTTCAACGTCACCTTGTTGAGCAATGGTGATATCCAAATTCGTAATCTATATTCATTATATAGAGTGGAGTCAGCAAGTGATAGATCCGGGGAAGAATATGTTCCCGTAGCTGGATGTAGGTAAGTGGCTGAATCACAATTGAAAATACATAAATTATTATCGGATATGAATTCCTAGATGATTTTATCTATATTATTTGTGTTGGCATATCCCCAAAGCGGGTTGTGCCCGTTAAGGTCAGCCATGATGATAAATGGCTTTGGAAGCTGATCATAAAGATTTTAAAGATCCGACTGTCGAATGTCAGAAGGAGGGATATACAAGCTGCACAGAGTCTATACAGAGATACAGGCCTATGCATGATGCCCTGCCGTACTAAAACTGAAGCACCTCCAGCTGCTCTATTTCCTGGAGGGGAAAAGGAATGAAAATCGGTGTACTGTGTTAAGTTAAAGGTGTCTGTGTTTTTTAAAATATGTCTCTTAAAGACAACATACTGACGGTTGAAGATCTTGAACGAGTAATTGTATTTCTCTGGAGTTATTTTTCAATCCTCTGCAATTCCATTGAATAATGTTGGACAAATGGGTCATGGTGGCCTAAGGAGCAGTAACAGGAGAAGACCCCATATGGTCACCTTTACAATGTAAGCACTTGATGGTGTTTGTACATATTTTGCCATCATGGTCAAGTTCTCCACATCTGAAGCATGCTAACTTGTTCCTACAAGAATTTTGCTCATGGCCGAACTACTGCCAGTTAAAACAACGAGTAGGGCACGGGATAAAGAGATCTACAGTTATGGCAAAACATCCAACCTTAATAGAAGTTGGCAGAACCGGTGTGTCAAAAGTCAAAAGATATGTGTTTGACGGGAATACACAGTCATCTTTACGATACTTAAATCGTTTGGCCTCAATGACACCTTGTCGTCTAAGCTGAGATACAGTGTCTTCAACGGATTCATCGGTGAGACTTCGGTCTCTATCACGGCTGAGACCTTAAGAGAAGCTAAGGGTCTTGTGTGCTGAACATGTAATTGGAATGTCAGCTAATTTGGTTGACATCATAAGGTTAATGGCCTGGGATTTCCTGGCACATTCAACCAAACGACATCCAGACCGTAATTTGGTAACATTTTTCAACTCACCAGCTTTACCTTGCAATCCTTTTTATAACAGAAATGGTGAATAGGAAGCAAGGGTTCGTTCACCCTTTGCTTCCAGAACAAGAAACCGTGACCAAGTATCCCTTTCCGAATATAACAGTTGAGTAACAACGCCATGTTCATCAGAATCAAGTTCAGAATCCAAAAGATTCCAAAAGTTACCGTTTTGGTTTTATGGGATTATGCTTACCCATGTTGAATTGTATATTGGTTCATCAAATCTGTTCCCTGCCCGAAATGGTGCGCTAACAAGAGCGGAGCCATAGGTAAGCGGTGTTCCAGCAAACACCAAAGGGTTACAGAAATGATATACTCCAGTTAATCCAGAGGATCAACCAGATTGGTCCATGAGCCACCGCCTTCTGGGCATAAGCTATAGGCAGGAAACTTATTGTTGGCCTAAACAAAGAACTCAACGTGATAACTATTTCAAGTGAAAAAACTGGATTATTTACAAGGACTAAGCGTGATTCTCTCAAAGATGAAAATGAACTTTAAAATGAAACCGCTAAATACCACTAATTGTCTAGCGTCTAACACTACAATATTCTAACAACAAGTTCGACAATCTAACAATCTAATAGCCAAATAAACCCTCTAGTCTAATACCTAAAAACGAATGGCTCAACGGACATATAGAACAAATAAGCACTAAATGGGCCAGTGTATATTTGACCACCGTCTGATATATGCAAACCTACTTCGTATTTCACGTGCACTCAGCTCCGGGTGTATTCAGGCAATACGAGCAGTATGCACTGGGAGCGTTTGGGTAAACAGTTTTCAATGAAAAACCAAAATGTCTTACACTAAGTAAAATGTTTCCACAGCACCCCATCACTCGCCGAAAAAGGCGATTGAATTTGGCAAATTTGTCGAAGCTGGTAATAGAGCTCCTCTGTCCAAAACAAAGCGTCGAACATGACGTTGTTAGGATGGAACAACGTCAAATGCTTGAAAATATTTTTACATTCAAATACACTGACGCATATTTAACTTTTTTATCAGCAGCACAAAGTGATGGACCGACTGAAGTATATGCAGTTTCACACTGCTGCAGTTGTCCAGACTCGATTCTTTACAGACCGCTGCCATATAGATGGAATATGGCTGAGTGCGGCGTAAAACTAAACTCACTCACTCACTCACTCGGTTGAACACATTACATTCAACGGTGACTTTAAAATCAAGGGTGTCTGTTAAACTTCGAACTGCGCAATATTCCATCAACTTGAGGACGATCTGTAAATATTAGGGTCAGGAGCTGGCGATTCGACGACTGAAGCCTACCATAGACCTACCATACAATACACTGAATTCCACACCATAATGTTTCACATATTAAAACTCTACAAAACAACTCTCAGGAAACATTTGCAAAATGCAAATGCGCGATAGTACTTTAAAAGGTTGAGGCTGTTGGTTTATTGCCAGGCTAGTAGAAAATGTGGATTT